AAAATAAAGATGAAATAAAGGAACTACTTTTGAACAAAGACTGCCCGTCTTTGTTCAAAAGTAGTTCCTTTATTTATATTTTTTTGTGTCATGTGTTTATAATATAATTACTAGTTTAATATAGATTTAATTTGTGTAATATTTGAGATATTATCTGTGTTTACCTTTTTTGTATGTTCCAGTGAGGTTCTTGGGTCAGTCTACGATAATAATATTATTTTATGTAGTCACTTAAAGGTGGAAGCTTGTTGTTAGCAAACTAGAAATTTATTAAGTTATTATTATTGTAATTAGTCTGTAAGCTTTCCTTAGAATAAATAAAAAAAAAAGCATTTGGTTGTCATACTACTCTACTGTCCTGTGTTTTTTGACGAGTAAAATTGCTGCTTTATGGCTCATTTACAAAAATAAACTCATTGTTTCATTGAACATACGGGGATCTCATGAGCTGCGTACAGTTCGTAAATCAGGAGCACATTGACTGTCGAGCGACACGTGACATGCGACCGTGGTATACGCTGTTCCTTTCTGCACCTATGTGTTAACCAGCTATGTTTAAAGCTATTTTTAACTTTACATACGTGTGAAAATTGCTATAGCTACTAGACTCCAGCTTACATTAAAGGTCCAAATAAGTACATACATACGTTCCCTAAGCCCTGTCAATTGCTCGACTAATCCGTTCTGCAACACTCGGTCATCAATAGAGCGTCACTGCTGTGTAGTACATTAACTGCGAGCTCTGAGCACCAGTCTAGAAGCCAGTACTGACAGTAAGCCAGCGAGTTATAAATTGGAGTGTCGGCACTCGCGTGACAGGTCAAAGGGCCCATCAGCAGGCGCGCTGTCAGTCACGGCGAGGCCCGCACGCGCCGCGCCCCGGGTAAACACTTTATGCAAAACGAGGAATTGAATAAAGGGAAGGATCGTGGCCCGCGCCGACACTGCTTGCACCGCTGCGAACACGGAGCTGAGTGCACGGGATACTCCACGTAGATGTGTCAATGAAAAGAAAAAAATACCACCGACCTATGTTATTAGACGTTTCATGTACCTTATATTTATTTAAATATAAATAACAGATTTATGTGACTTTAGAGACATTTTATCTACGACATTTTATTTTTTTCACAAAATATTTCATTTTGTGAAAAAAATAAAATGTCGTAGATTTATAAAACTCTAATGTTACATTTTTATTTTAATAGAGTATCTAACAGAGAAACGAATTGTGCATCGACCGTAAGCAAGGAATAAACAAAAAATTGAAGATCATGAAATGAGTGAATGAACTAGTTCGTGTCGGTATAACAGGCGGCTGCTGGTAGCTCGGGGCTCGGGGCGAATGTGATGCGATATCGTTACGATATCGTCATAAATATACACGCTTTGTGTTATTCGACTAGTCGAGGGAACGTAGTTTACATACGCAGTCCGCGTTATCGTATTACGTTTATTCGCTCTCGCCGCCGCCCGCCGCCGCCCGCCGCCCGCCGCCCGCCGATGCCGCCTGCCTGTAAACTTATAACCCTATCAGATATTGTTTTTCACTTGTAATGAGGAACTACACACGACACTCGACTGAGGACTTTTGTTCAAACGATATCTTCACTGGAAATTGACATTTTTATTTATTTATTTACCTTTGGAACGTATATTACATATGTTTACTTCGTTTTTGTCAATATTCTTGTATTCATTGTATCTATATTCTCATAACTTGTATTCCAGTCACAAAAAGTTAAGAAAATACATGATATTATCGGCATTGGTTTTAACCGGTTCCTCTGTTTTGTTTCGACACAGACAGCGACCTAATACAATTTGATTACACGAATAGGTTTAGTTCTCGCGCTAATATCGACGCAGCACCTCAAGGGTTTAGTTCGGCAAACAATTCGGTATTCCTGGTAGGAGTGGATATAGCAGCCGGTAGTCGGTCGCACGGTAATGCTAACAACTGGACGGCATCACGACGACGCTCCAATATGCTAAGCCTTCACGGTACACACGTACTAGTTACGTCTAACTAAACAACGTGAAATTGTTTACAGTGGCCGGCCGAGTCCGTCTGATGCACCCATTCATCGTCTCGGTGTGGGCCCGGGCCCCTGCCCCGCATGCGCCCGCTCGCACCCCCGGGGCCCGCACGTCCCCGCCGTGGACAATTAGCATTTAGATTAAACAAATAAACGGCACCGCCGCGTGACCAGAAAGAATTATCTGCGTTATTTATTGTTAAATTAATGTATTTATTGCATTTTTAATAGTCACGTTAGAGCTACGCGGCGGCACTCCGTAACTACTGCGATTATGAAGGAAAACGGGTTGCGGGAGGAGGACGCCAACCTCCCAGCCTTACCGCGTCAATGTGTGATTAGAGCGACGTTTTTATAGAAATCTGTTGACGAGTACATAACGAGAGAACAATAAGATGGCATTGTAGTCGCAGTGAATAAATCAAGTAAAGCGTCGCTAGGAGTCATCACTTAAACATCCATTTAGCTAATAGAGTAATGTCTGACTCGAGAATAAAGAGCCGAGATGCAAGATAGACTCAACTTAGATTTAACTGCAGACAGAGTTGAGCACCTCCTGCATACATTACAGATAAGTTGATTCTTCGCGTTAGTCCTATTCAACTTATTTATGAAGGTGATCTCGAAATTTTTTATTGTCATGTAAAGTTAATTCTAATTTGCTATATTGTCATTACATGATTTAAATTGAATAATATTAACTAGAAATACCCAACGTATGAGTGTTTGAGTAAATCTACAGATACTGACAGAGTAGATGCAAGGTATGTCGGGGCGGTCACAATTAGCGCTCGCCCGGCTCGGTAACTGATGGGACGGCGCGCGCGACACATGATGTATCACTTCGACACATGCGGTGCACGGCTGCCGGAGACTGCACACTACACTTATTGAGTTCAACATCTTATATTAGTCAATTATTCTTTAAAGGCTGTACTTAATTACTAGTTTCCAAACATCATTGTGGTTGGGAACAAGGAACAAGGTTACAAGGAACTCGAACTTTCTAACCACGCTGTGTGCTCATAGTCATGAGCAGCATTGCGGGTTGTAATTAATTGAATATGTCACAAAAAAGTAAAACATTGTTTAACAATTTCTAATACCTACTTAATTTTTTAGGTGAGATTGAAAATCAAAATGATTTTTAAATATTTTAACATGGTAGGTATACCTACTGATAATTTCATCAGTTTTAGTATTAAAAAACTTACTTTCGTCTCTTAAGAAAACAATTGCGGTACCTACATTGTATATCACCGTGTGTTTAATTCAGAGCTTTCTAAGAGTAGACAGATATGAAATGCTGGCCACAAAAAAAAAATTATATTTATAGCCGTGTAAACTTATTTACTAATTAAATAATACTTAAATAATACAATTTAATTAATTATATCAACATATATCAATCGTGATTATTCAACACTGCCAAAAAAATTTGAACAAAGCTCTTCTAGGTATTGCGATGGTGTTATACACGACGTGTCACGTGCGGTGAGCGGCGGACATCAAAGGGCCCGCAGCATGCGGTTGTAAATCCGTGCTTTTAACTGACGCAACGATTGACATTATTGACATATTTCGTTATTGTGACATTATCAAATTTAGAATATGGTGCAATCTTTCAATAGTTGTTATATACCAGATAAATGTGAATATAGAATGTACTTTGTATGAACAGTATATATACATATATATATATAATGTAGTTGTATAAGTTTATCGGGATCTTATACGAAGCAGAACCAAGCCCTAAGAAACCTACAACTAAAAATCACCTTCGTTCAAGGTGGCGTATCACACCCAGTTATGCCACGGATTGCCTTTAAAGATAAAGAATTTCACGATTTCCTTTGCTATCTCAAATTGAAGTTCTACCACTTCCAGTGGCACCAGTACTTTCCACATTCTTATTCGTGCTCTATAAATATGAAATATTGTTGCTCAATTTGTTATTTTAAACTTATGTTAGGCCGGAGAACTCATAGTAAGAAGCAGAACTTTGAGCTGAACCGCTCAACATACATTATGGGGATACCACTGACAGTAACTGCAACCGTTGTATAGTGTACCTATATATATCCACAGGAGTAGGAGTCAAGCGACGCTGGCTCCTTACTTAGCACCTCAACTACAATACATTCAAGGAGTTTTTGCAGAAGTATATATCGCAGAGTTCCTTGCCTAGCTCAGTGTACACAGCGTAATAAATTCACTGGAATTTATCCGCACTTACGGCGACGTTTTATTCGCTTGACCTCCCCCCGCCTCGGCCCGCGCCCCCCTCAGCCGCTCTCGGCGACGTCGCTGCAGTTTAAAGTATTCACATGTAAAATATTCAGGCGGCGCACTCATGTTTATTGAAAGCGAATTTTGTCTCAGAGTACTACATCACCTGGACACTAGTGGACACTAGGCATGGCTACAAAGAACGGCGTGCACAGAGTGTCAGGCTGTTTCCCAAAATAACCCAAGAATTGCCATTTTTTTAGTTAGTTAATTTTATATATATGTTACAAATGCGATATTGTTTTTACGAATCGAGCTTATCACTGTTTTCACCTTATCTTTGTTATCGACATATTATCGCACTTATTCGTTTTTATGGTTTTTTGTTTGCGTATTTTTGGTCTCGTGTAGTAAGTAATTCATACCAAAATATTTAAAATGTTTATGTGTAATGATTTTAATCTTATTCTGTTTTAATGATAATTTAATTCCAATTTTATTTTTAAATCATTAATATTACAATGTTACTATTTTTTGCACGATGTGGTCTCCTATAATTGGAGGAGCACAAAACTTCTATAATTGTATTTTTTTTAATATCGCGCATCTAATGTGTCTCTGTTGGAGACCCTTATAAAATAAATAAATAAATTCCCGGATCATGACTATTTGTATTACACTAAGAGTTGTTCGTCCGGGAATCAAATCCGTGACACGTTCCGCAGCAGCCAGATGTACCAGTGTGCAAACCATGTGGTGCACTGGTTGCATCTCTGGCATCAGTTGGCGAGGCGTGCCGGTGGCGTTACGTCACGGCAATTAAATCTGCGCGCGGCCGTAAGTGCGCACTCAGCGATATCATCGCTTATTGAGTTACGTACGCCATTACACGCGTGTCTATGTTTATTGATTGCGTTAAAGCGCAAATTTTGAGACATCATTGGCAGTCCCTGTAACGAATGAGGATTTGCGACAGAAATTGTACTCATAGATAAAATTGATTGAGGTGAACTCTGAAATTTCCAGAAATGTAGGAGAGCCAAGCAGAGACGAGTTGTATAAAAAAAAAAATGATGGGATCTATCCAGTGTCTGAGGTTGTTTCACACGATTCCCAATACTTCAATTACATTAACTAAAAATCGCGGGTTCCTCACGTGTGTATATTGAGAAAAGCTCTACCAGTTCTCTATTACTACGTCTCTATTACGCGGACGCAGCGACGTCGCTGCGTCCGCGCACGCTGCTCATGAGGAAGTCCCTTCTGTGGTTCGAAACTAGTAGAGCTTTTCTCAATATACACACGTGAGTAACCCGCGATTTTTAGTTAATTTAGTATGTCTCACGATAGTTATTATAAAAACTTCGATTACAATTTGTAAATGTTGGCTGAATTGTTTCATTGAAACATCAAATATAGTGCAGCAATGTTTTTGGAAAAATAGTTATTACTGCGACAAGAATTGAATTTGTTAGTGATCTGCGTTAACGCACAACAGGTGATAACATTGGCGTGCCGCGTCTGTCTTGGATCTCACGAGTGAAGTGAAGTGAAGGCCCTACTGCCGCGTGCCGACGCGGGCGTATTAATTATCTAGCGTAAACAAAGTAAGCGCGCTATTTGCCTGCGACTGCTAGACTATTCGAAGTAGGATAATTCAAGATCACGACCACATTGGCAAAACTGAAGCTTATTTTCGTTAAATGCTCGTAAACATAATGTTTCATCAGACAGGCCAGTGTCATGGCCGCGGGCTAATGTCATGTTATGCATACTTTCTATGAGCGCTAATACTTTACATAGACTCATTTAAAGCTACTATTCCATTATCCAGAATGAATTTTTAGGTTTTATGAATATAAGTGTGGGACGTATAATTACTGAATGATTTCTAGTCCCGTCCCTTCTGTAGTATTCTGCGTAGTGGCGGAGTCGGAGCGTGCTCCCGGCGCGGTGTGCGGTGTGGTCTCACGCAGTGCGCCGCCTTCTCGTGATTCCGAAGCTATGTTTGAACGAAGGCGCTGATTACATAGAGAGCCTAACTTTACCTGCTTGTTAACTTATACTACACACTATAAAATACTGTTTACATACTTTTGAAGCCATTCCGTCGTTATTCATTCAACTGTTTTAATTTTTACTCATAACATAACTTAGTAAAAAATCTCGTTAATGTATTTTCTTACGACTAAAAATAAATGATTTCATTAAAAACTCAGTGGATTAAGATCGAATTATGATAATACGAGTAAGTTCGCACGGATCTTTGATCACAAGTTCCAGTATACAATTCATGGCAAATTGTGATCATTTTAATTTGTCTTTAATTAATATAATCTTAGGTTTAGTTTAATATTTTGAAACGACAAGCAGTTTTATTTGTTGCTTTATAAATTTTGTGTCATCTTTACAAAGATGAGTTTCTTCGAAAGTAGAGCGCACAAGAAAAATATTATTGTATGTACACAGTATCCACGAAATAACTGTACGTATGGGAACAAAATCATCTGGCAGCAGCTCATTGTAAACTTTACAACGCGATCTGCGCTTGCTTTAATGATTATAACAATATTTTGAACCTTAAAGTTATAGCTATAAAGGTTGCTCGGCGTTACTTAAACGAGAACAACAGAGCAAAGAAATTTCTTAAGTAAAGTTTCTCAGCTAATATTTGTGGTACATTTTCGCAGAATACATTTAATACAATCATAACATTAAATGTTGTTACGAAGTTTGTGCTCGCAGTTTGTGTTGTAGAGAGCAACGAGCGCTGCCGACACATGTGCCAGCACAGGTCTTCGGATGAACAGCTTCCGTATTTGTATGGGATCTGTGGGGAACAAAATTAAAATTCACTTTGAAACACTCGTTTTCACGTAGTTAGCGGATTACCTGCACTACAAGATCTATAACTTCTCAACAAACAAATCAGAATAGTTGTACCTTTACAGCGGTGTCATCGCTCATTGTCCTCGATCAGGCGCACGAGTGCGTGACAAAAACACATGTTTATCTAAGTGTGGTCGATAGGCGATATAAATAAAGTGGCTCCCATAAATATTGTCCGGGGTGTGGTGTGACGTCACGCGCGCTACGTCACGACGATGAAATATGGCGGCGGTGGACCGTGGCCGCGCGCCGCCTCGGACGGGACACCGCACAGGGCTGCGCGCACAGAAACAAAACTTTGTAAGCAGGCCCATTTCCCCTTTCCCAGCTCCTTAGTTAGCTCTGAAGTTTTATGACTAACTCGACACTCTAGCTATGAAGAGCAAATACTTTTATGTAAGACGGTTGTATTAGAAAATGTGCTTTTAGTTTTCGCTTAGCATACAACATTGGAGCCGTGTAATGTGTAACTTAAATATACTGTTGTTATGTATCAAGATTCAAAAAATATTTCGAATTTTTTCATCACTAACTTCTAATTGGACTTTCCATCGACGAAATTAAATTTAAATTTTTTTAAAGTAAATAAATCTGGTTTCGACCAACAACACCAACTAAGCCAGTGTGATGTAAGAGAGATGTGGCGGCTCGTACGTTCAGTGGCAGCCCTGGCGCGGTGCGTGGCGCGTCTTATTGACACTGACACATTTTATTATCATTGGATCGGCCCGCTGCCCGTGCTCCACCCCCCACCCCCCACCCCGCATCCGCACTCCTCTCAGTGCCCTGCTACATTGTTGCTCTATAATATCTTTTACAAAACCACAACTAAATATTAAACACCCTTTTCACTTGGACGACGTCAGAATACAGAAGTGTCTGTTATCTTTGAGATAATATGAACATGTAATACATATTAGATTACAGAGGTAAGAAGTAAAAGTGTTGGTCATTTGTCATATGGTACGCGATAACTAAGTGGGTTTTAACAGTGTTTGTTGATAGTTATAGTTAGCGATATGATTTGGCGCGGGAACACCTTACACAGCTGACAAGGCGGAGGCGCGGCGCGGGTGTTGCTCGTATTGCTTCAGTCAGCCATTATTACAGCTCTATTATTTGCGTTTAACTCGCTGCCACGGTAAAGCTGATAAGTTGAGGGTTTGCTTACGTTACATTTAATCAACACATTGTTCTGCGTTTCTTGGTTCGTGATTTAATTAGGACGCCGTCATTTTACAGTGGCTGCATCCTGACTTGCAACAATGCGGTTATGAAATAATAGTTAATGGTTCGGTCCGTCGAGTGGGAACTAAGCAGCGCATTAAACATTAGCGGTGTAAGCGGCTTAGCGCGCGACCCGCGGCGTTACGGCTGCGTGCCGCTGATCCGGGATCAAGCGCACTAATTCACACGAGTGCAAACTGCCGTGACGGCGACGTGCGGCCGCGTCTCGTGCCCCGCATCCCACGCCCGGCCAGTACTTGCTGGGCGGTTAGTGTACAATATTACAACAAATGTAAAAGTAACGAATACACGACATTAATAATGTAGATCGAAAGAAATTTTGCTTGTCAAAATATTTACCTTCTTTTTATAGATTATATTACACAGAAATACAAGTTGTTAGATGATTATTAAATTTAAAACCAAAAAAACCGACATGAAAACCCGATACAGGTCTAGCATGAGTGTTATGTAAAAGTCAAATTACCCATTATATGTTATAATAGGCACCTATATATACCATCAGCTATCACACTGCAAAGTATCTAAAAATGAGTGCTACAAAGAACATATTACATATTGATAAACAACTTTAAAATGTTTGCTACCAGTTGTGCTCCGATTGTAGTAGTCGCTACGAATCTTCGTAGCACCGTAGTAAATTTCGTAGCCCTCTCGGTACGGATATACTGATAAGCCGTTAATAAGGTCCGTTAATTCCCAAATACTTCATTTTGAAACGATAATTTATTGAGTTTTTTGTTTTATGTGCATTTTTATCAAGCTTCTTATTTTTAGTAAGGCCTGAAAATGATGTTTTTTTATTCCTTCACACTTTTACAATCTTCCATATCAGATCTTGGGACAAATATAAAAAAAAATATTATTAAAAAATAATTAGGGTGGACTCCGATGGCTTTTTGGTCGCTACGTTTAAAAATTTCAGGGTTCAATTTCGAAATCATACCATTATAAAAAAAAAAAAAAAAAAAAATAAAAATCGTTTATTTGCAAAACAGGTTTTTGTGCTTACAATATTGTGATTGAAGCCTCCTTTTAAGCAAGATGTGCCTGTGTTAGGAGACTTCGCTCTTTTACAACAAAGCGTACATAGTTATTGTGCAAATATGACGTTATCCATTATATGATTAGCATGCAAAATAATACTAAAAATTAAGGAGAACAAACCTCTAGGTGCTAAGTAGGTAATTAATTTGTGTGTGTGACTGTAAGCGTAAGCGTGTGTGCGTGTGCGTGTATGTGTGTGTGTGTGTGTGTGTGTGTGTGGTGTTTGTTTGCTTGTTTGTGTGTGCGTGCGTGCGTGCGTGTGTGTGCGTGCGTGTGCGTGCGTGTGTGTTTGTGTGTGTGTGTGCGTGCGTGTGCGTGCGTGTGTGTTTGTGTGTGTGTGTGTGTGTGTGTGTGTGTGTGTGTGTATGTGTGTGTGTGTGTGTGTCAAGGTACGTGTTGAAGTAGTGCCTCGGTTTCATTATACGTAAGTGTTTTTATCCATTCACAAATGGTTTTTTTTGAGTCATAATAGTTTTTTGAATAAATATACACGTATTATATGTATATTGTAGTAAACTTTAATCGATGTACGATGTTAAATATTGCTATCCACTGGAATCTGACAGTTTAATACAGTTCTTAGGTTGGCCGGCCGAGCCTGATCGAGTTTCGCCCATAGAAAAGAGTTCAACGATAATGACATTTGATGAGCTCTCATATTTACGTCGAATTTCAACTTTCATCATTTAAAAAATCTTCATTGTACTAGATATAAACATTGTGATAGCTGAATATATTAAAAATTTAGTCATTTCGTAATAGTTTGGCTCCTCAAAGGAACACGTTACACGTTAAACAAACACAAAAACGAACACCAATAACGTAGCTAGTCTTTGATAGAATTTCACACAGCAATTCACTAATTTGGATCTGTTTTTATAACAATAAGTATTTTCTTTGCATTTTCTGTGTGTGCAATGTTGTCGGAAGTCTGTCAGTAGTTGGAGCACAATGGCGCGCTGGCGGCAGTCACGCGACACCGCGCGCGGTATCTGTTACCAATTACCGAGGGACCGAGCTACACTACCACTACTGTCGCCGCTACCTGTGTCGACGAGTGTTTTACGTCCAGATACTAAAAATCAGAATATTTTGAATGTGTTAATAATTATTAATGTCGAAGTTCTGCAAAGAATATAAAATATTTTTGTACAAAAACGTGTATAGAGTAGTAGTCTGCACGTTTGTGTTGTTATTTGCATTTTTCTGTAACTAACCAATGATCTCAAAGAGCTGTCCTCAAGGTATCTACTGGACGCTCTTTACTCTACCCTACTAATCTTCTTTACAGATCTTGTAATGTACTAACAGTTCGCCAGTTATTTATAATAAGCACTATACTTAAACAACATTCAACCCTTCCCTACAATCCCGAATTAATTACTAGAAGAAGGAAAGATATCGTTTGCCCAGCAAAAAGTACAAAACACATTTTTATAACAATTTTTTTTGTATTCCTCGGACCTTTCCTATACAACAAACTGAATGCGACTTTACCACCTTACTCCTACAATCTCCATACCTTTAAAAAAATCCTCATCGAAGCACTTCAAGACATGTCCTATGAAGACACAGAGAAGTTATTATTAGTTCCTAAATAACTGTAGTAAAGGTTTTTATTTTTATTTATTTTTTATTTATGGTTTAACTTTTATTTAATTAAACATAGATATAGAATTTAAGTACCGTTTTATCCTGTTATTTTTAATATAAATAGTAGCATTATTTCCTTAATTTAAAAACACTTATGTACTTATGATTATTTAACAATGTATAATATCTTTTTACCCATTTTCGCCTGAAACACAGG